TTCTGCAAACAGACCCGAGCCGTCAAAGGGCAAGTCTTGGATGCCCTGCTATACCTCTGGTAGGAGGCCCGAGACCTGCAGCCACGAGCTTCGGCACATAACAATGGAAGTGGACATTGTGCGGGTGGCCGAGTGCGCCGCATCCAATGCGGCCTTGCAATTGTCTTATCCTCCTAGAGAACAGCTCCCAAGTCACATCAGGAGTTTGTTCGGAGGAGCTCTTTAAACTTGGACAGAGTTCCAAGAATTAAAATTGTAGCGACTGAGCACCATTTACTGATTAGCAATTCGAAGCTGGAGGTCCCCCATGGAATAGACCTTACAGCCTAAAAGGTCCAACTTCCTTGCCTCTTTGGATTTTGGCGTAGGACCTTGCTGCCCTTGCCTTTCCTTGGCATTTGTCTGCATCCACGACAAGCGTGCCTGGTTGAGGGTGGGTGAAAAGGTATTTGTACCCCTTGGAGGGTACAAAGTATTTCCTTTCCATCCACTTTGCCATGAGAGAAATGGAGACGGGGGGTTGCCACAGGGTCTTCATGGTGTTATGAATGGTGTTGATCAATGGCAAGGCCATCCTTGATGGCCCTTTTGGTGTCAGAATATCTACCATGCAATCTATGTCTTCTGATACCTCCTCTGCCTGAAGACCTAGGTTTTGAGCTACTCTTCTAAGCAGCTCTTGATGGGCCCTACTGTCCATGGCTGGCAAAGAGGCAGATGAGGCCACTACTGCCTTGTCTTGGGAGGAAGATGAAGAAGCCCCCATGGGCATATGTTTCTCCTGACCCTCCAATTCTCAGGGTTCCTCCCTCAGTGATGTCGCCTGCATGGTGGCAGGCACAGTACCGACTCCACCTCGGTGCCGGGCTCCTATCCTTTTGGAGGTTCCCTCACCATCGAGGAAGATAGGGGGCCCCCACCTGTCCGAGGCTATGGACAGGAACCTGGAGCTCGGACCTGGGGCTTGATGGCCCACCCAGGGGGTCCAGAAAGGCCATTACATTGGAGCCTGCCATTGAGGATGCCAGGGCATCGTAGGGACCTGGTGTGCCTCCTCTCACTGGGGAATGACGAGAATGGTGCCAGCTCTGCCCGGAGATGTCTGACTCCAGCTCTGAGATCGAGTCCGACCTTGAGGACCACAGGGGCGCCATGCAGGACGGTGCCGGGGAGTGGTGCCCAAGTGAGGGGGACTGTTGCAGACTCATGGCTGGTTTGCCCTTGGAGAGAACTGGCCCCTTATTTGGTGCCAGTGCCGCTGACTGCTGGGCCATCAACTCTATGAGGCCTTTTGCAGCCTCAAATCTGTCTGAGACAGATGGCAGGTCCAATGTCCCCATTTGGCTCTCCCGCGCCAAGGAGTCCAATGGGACCAGACTCGACGGTTCTGCCTGAGTGGTTAGAGTCAATGGTGCTGGTTTTGCCTGAGCAGGAGCTGAGTATCCCGGCACGGGACGCACTCCACGAGCACCATCGCGTTCTACTACTCTGACTGTTGGCAAACGCCCACTCCCAGCTCTTCTTTGCTTCTTATGCGGCACCAGCAAGTGTGACCCATGCCAAGAGGCTGCCGAACTCATCTTCGGTGCCAGAGAGTGGCAGTGCTACAAGTCTCTGGGTGTTGGGTCCTTTGCCAGAGCCACGGCCTTTCGTACTGAGGACAGTGCGCTCCGCACCGAAGTGCTGGGTTTCGATGCCAACACGTTCTGTGCCGGCTGGGGACGAAGAGCTGACTTCATAAGGAGAAGCTTAAGTCTGAAGTCTCTCTCCAATTTTTGTTCTTGGGCGGAAGCGCCTGCAGATTTTACACTTAGTCTGATGGGCCTCCCCCAAGCACTTTAAGCAGGAATCATGAGAATCTTCCCTGGGCATAGGCTTCTGACAGGATGCACAGGGTTTGAGGCCTTGAGATCAAGGCATGCCCCAGTCCCCGAAGGGGAGAGCGTGGTGGGGGAGCAGCCCCCAACAAAGCCCCTTAACTATTAACTAACTAACCACTAAAACTAACAATACTATGCTAATAAAACTATTTACAAAACAAAGAAAGAAAATGCTAGGGAATTGCTTGCCCGAGGCAAGAGAGAGAGAGAGACAGAGAGAGAGAGAAAGAGAGACACTCCAATGACCATCACTGGTGGTAAGAGGGAATTGAAGAGGCGGCGGGTTGGCAGGGACCTATATACACCGCCATGAAGGTGATATTCAGGGGGCTCCACAGCCAACCTGATGGGTACCACTAGGGGAAAACCTTCTGACTGTGCATGCAGCGTGCTTGCATCTACTTAGAATTAACATGAGCAATGACTCGAAGAGGAATTTTAGATTTATACTCCAGAGGGGGTGCATGTCTGAGGAGCTGGGAGTTGCCTTAGCTGTAGCCTTCCTATGCAGGGGCTGGTCAGAAAGCCTGCATGCAACTGCAGCTGGGTGTGTCCCTACTGTATGTATGCTGGTGAAAGTGCAGGCTGGAGGGCTCTGCAGCTTGTCACAGCAATATAGTGTGAGGGGGAGCCCAGGCTGGTGGATCAGGGGGCTCAGTGGTACCCCAGTTCCAAGTGGCACCACAGGGGGAACCCATCACAATGCTGTATGCTTGTTTCTCCTTGGTAAGTCCAAGGAAAGTGTCCTAAGAGGAATCTTTAAGAAAAAACTTTTAGGTAATTGCTTTTGATGCTTTAAATTTGTCCATTTTAAAACAAACTAGAAGTAGGAGGGACCACACTCATAAGAGTGACTTAAGAAGAAGTGTAATGTTACTCCTTGGAGAAATACTTTGAAGCATGATAAATGTATTAGAAATGCCAAAGAAATTAATGATTATAAGTAAATTTAATAAGACATTTTAGCGATTTTATGCTCTATGAAATAACTGCTTGAACCCAACACTGGTCTACGTCAATAGCTTTCAAGACTGTATGTTGTGCTCCGTAAATGCCTGGAACATCTGGTACCCAAAGAATCTATAAATCTCTTTAAACTGTTGACTATAAGCCTTGGTGGTTCTTGGCAAATTAACAAAACTTTTGATTGATTAAGAATAACTAAGGTTATGTCTACACTTAAGAGCTGGGGATGGGATTCTCAGCTTGCACAGACATACTCGCACTAGCACTCCTTGAGCTAGCATGCTAAAAATAATAGTGTAGCTGGGGTAGCACAGGGAGTGGCAAGCAGTGGCATGGGTTAGCCTTGCTGAGTACATACCCAGAATTCAGGCAGGTTTGCACTCAGCACAGCTAGCCCATGCTACCAATCACCACTGTCCATGCTACACTAATATTCTTAACATGTTGGCTCAATGAAAACTAGTGTGAGTATGTATGTGACATGGGAATCATACTCCCAGCTCCAAGTGTCGATATCCCTAAGTGTCCTGATTTGAAAAGTACTGTCTAAAGCAGGGGTGGGCAAACTATCACTCGTGGGCCGGATCTGATCTGTCCCTGCAGCCCCGGGGGCAGAGGGGAGCAGATGGTTCTGTGTGCTGCCCTCGCCTGCAGGCACCACTCCCTGCAGCTCCCATTGGCCAGGAACAGGGAAACGCAACCAATGGGAACTTCGGGGGAGGTACCCGCAGGCGAGGGCAGTGCACACAGCCCCTCTGCCCCCCTCCCCCCAGGGGCTGCAGGGACATGGTGCCAGGAGGGGAGCAGCACGGGGCCAGGGCAAGCAGGAAGCCTGTCTTAGCCCCACTGCGCACCGCTACCACCCCAGAGCCGCTCCAGGTAAGCGGTGCTGGGCCGGAGCCCGCACCCCAACCCCTGCTGCACCCCTCCTGCATCTCAATCCCCTACCCTGAGCCCCCAACCCCGAGCCCCCAACCCCCTGCCCTGAGCCTCCTGCCGCACCCCTCCTGCACCTCAACCCCCTGCCGCACACCAACCTCCTGCCCTAAGCCCCCACCACACTCCTGCTGCACCCCAATCCCCTGCTGCACCCCTCCTGCACCTCAACACCCTGCCAAGCCCCCTGTCGCACCCCGCACCTTCCTGCACCCTAACCCCCTCCTGCACCCCAAGCCCCTACCCTGAGCTTCCTTGTATACCCTGCACCTCTCCTGTGCCCCAACCCCTTGCCCTGAGCCCCTTCCTGCACATTGCACTCCCTCCTACACCCCACAGTCCCTTCTGCACGCCAATCCCCTGCCCCAGCCCTACATTCATGGCCCTGCATGCAATTTCCCCACCCAGATGTGGCCCTCGGGCCAAAAAGTTTGTCCATCCCTGGTCTAAAGTATGAGATGACCTTAGAAGAACCTAGTGTAAATTAGTTAGCTAATGCTCTCTGGACTCAATATTAAATTTCACTCAAGCATCAGCTAAAATATTTACCAAATTGGCCAATCTAGTTTGTTAGATTTCACCTTTAAAATCTAACTGGCACCCAGGCAAATTCATAAATTTGCCCCCTTCTCCCTCCTTCACTTTTACATTAGTAATTTGATTATCTGTAGGATCCTTCAGTTAGAAGATTTTGCCTTTTATACATGTACAAATTGGGACACAATTAGTCCCCAAAAAGTGGGACAGATGGAAAAAGATGACTTTGGTGTGGGATTCTTCTGGAGCCAACAAGTCTATCATGTCCTCAGACTGGATGCCTAGAAGCAGCAATAATTGTTTGTCAAGCTACTGCAGCTGTGGGCTAGGAAGATTATCTCTCCCTCCTCTTTTGGGGTTTAAAGGACCTTCCTGACTATTTGGGCTTTCTGTTTATAACTTAATCCTGATGAAGACTACTGAAACTGCTCCCTTGAACATGAAAGTTGTTTGCTTTTGAAAGCTGGATGACCCAACTGGTAGAATATTTTTTTCTGTTTTATTGCCTGTTGTGATCAAAATACAAAAAAAATACATCAGAAAAAGAGGCCAGAATTCACTATTGTACTCTCAAAGATTTTCTGTATTGCAAGGAATTCAAGCATACATACAACCACAAAACAACTTTGTTAAACATACAAGAAAAGTTATTAAAAATTGAATTCCTATGTATTTTCTTACCAAAGCAAATTCATGTGATACTCTTCCATCTGGGGGCAGCTTAGCCCCAAAACCTAGAGCAGGAAACATTTTGTCACTATCATAATCTTGAATGATTTCACCTACTGCTTTCAGTGCCATGCCATAAGCATTCAGTTGGTACGGGTTCATATAGTGGAGCGAGGTGGGCTGTGCAGGGTTACCTGTTAAAACATAAAGATCAGATGTATCTTACAATGGATTCACTTGGGAATGCAACTCAGCACTGAAGCTGGGAAAGTGTCCTTTTTCCAGGGAAAATCCAAGATCTGCAACTTGGTAGACTAGGCTATCAAATGACAGAGTGGTCACAGAATTGACTCTTGTCCGGAAGATGTTCATTGCAAATAGTCTCACATAAGTCTGAAAAGCTCACTATTTCACAAACATGAAGGAGGAGATTTGAATAAAATTGGAACATACAACTGAGTATTCAGATAGGAAAAGCAAAATGTTTATTAAAAAGGCACAAATTTTGCTTATGAGCAGATAAATGATTGGGCCTAGACATTACAGCACCTAAAGTGAATAAAACCTAAGAACTCTATAATCAATATGATAATACAGCAAACACCTTTACTTCAAAGACAAATGGATATATGAAAAGGAATCTCACTGACAAAACAGAAAAGGTTACTGGAACTCAATACAAGGGTGGGATTCAAACCGACAGGTAGAACCTGCAGCTTGTCAGTGATGCTCAAGCTTTGACAGACCATGAGTGACTGACATACTAAGCTAAAGATGTAAGCATTTGACTGTCCAATTTCTCTTACCACCTCTAAGTATATACCAGTCAAGATTAGTTTTACTTATACAAAGATATGCTTTCATACCATATATATTATTCTTGATGAGCATCTCTCTTACTTTTCCTAATAAACCTAGTTTATTTAAACTTCTTGTGATCTTAAGACTGTTTTGGGATTATTTACAGAGAGCTATTCTGGGAGAGGTAAAGTAACCTTTTATCTCTGAGGAGAAGTAATGAAGGGGATCTGTAACCTAAGTCCATTCAAGATTTTTGTTCAGAAGCAAAGAGTAGAGATCACTGTTTTATAAAAGTGCAACCAATGCCAAGGTTGTGTTTGACCCAGTACATTACGAAATCTAATGACAATGACCTAGAGTCAAGTTACAGGGGCCTAAGGTAATAATATGTATTTATAAGTTGAAGACACTACATAAAGGTTTTCTTTTTGCTCAGGAAAGACAACTCCTGAATTTTCTTAAATTCATCTGCCATAGTCTTGCACTGCTTTTGTAATGCTAGGGTGGTTGTGATTCATGGTCATGTAAGCAGCGATAACCCCTCCCGCCCCTGATGCAAGTGGTGAAAATGGGAGAAGTCTTGGCTCTTTTCCCAAATGCTTTTGCTGGCATAGCTCTGTTAATGCACAGGGAAGCACACCAATTCACTCCCTCTTGCTACTCATGACTGAACCTTTAATTTATGGGATAGCTTGATTTGAAAGCTCAAACCTTCCCCTCCAAAAATCCCAGAGCAGACAAGCATTTTCAAATTTTTCTTGAAAAAAGAGTTCAACACAAATTACGAATTACCCAAGTCTGCAATGCTCATATTTTAGATGCCATTATCCAACAGTTACCAATAAGTGAGGTTTGTGGGGCTGCAGCCAAAGAAGGAAGCACTAAGACATGCTTTCCCTATTTGTAGGGTTACCATATGTCCGGATTTTCCCAGACATGTCCGGCTTTTTGGGCCTCAAATCCCCGTCCGGGGGGAAATCCCCAAAAGGCGGACATGTCCGGGAAAATCGGGACATGCGGGGCCGGCGGTGCTGGGCCAGGGGCCGGGGGTGCTGAGCCGGGGGCCGGGCCGGCGGTGCTGGGCAGGCCGGCGGTGCTCGGCTGGGGGCTGGCCCAGGGCCGGCACCCCAGGGCCCTAGCCGACCCAGGCTGGAGACGCTGGGGGGGGCCAGACTGGGCCACGCCTCCTCCCCCCACCCCCTGCCCCTTACCTGCTTCAGGCTTCCCGCGAATCAAATGTTCGCGGGAAGCGGGGGGGCGGAGTTGGGGTGGGGACTTGGGGGGGGGCGGAGTTGGGGCGGGGCCGGGCCCCGTGGAGTGTCCTCTTTTTGGACACTCAAAATATTGTAACCCTACTATTTGCATCCCTGGAAACCTGCCCGTGGCTGGTGCTTGGTGCATCATAGCACTTCCTTCTTTGGCAGCACAAAACTGCCTGTGTGGGTGCAGCCAGGGAAGGAATCGCTGAGGTGTATCAAGCCCTGGGAGAGGTACTGTGCAGCCTTGTGGGTCCTTAGTACTCCTGCTCCCTGTGGAAAGCCTTGGCAGCTGGGCTGCAGCCCCCCTGTCTTGTCAGAGTCCTGGTGCTGCAGGATGGGAAGGGAGTCTGCAGGCAGAGTAGCAATGGGGTGGGAGACTGCAGCCCGGAGCTGGGTCTTTACATAGGAAGCAGGGGTTCTGGGGGCCTGAAGGGCTGCATGGTACCTCTCCCTATACTTTCTGGGGTGCACTCTGCCGTGGCACCAGGGACCCAAGCACCGCATGTTCCAACCCTTCCTTCCCTGATTGCAACCCTGCAGCAAATTTCCAGTGCTGCAGCCAGGGAACAAAGTGATGGGACATGCTGAGCATTGGCTGCAGGCTGCTTCCTTCCCTGGCTTCAGCTCACAAACCTCCCTGTGTCAGGGGCTTTTTACAAGCGGTGGTATTAGGGCCCCATAGGGCTGCATTGAAAAAAAAAATTCAATCAGTGGCATATTAGTAACCAGAAGTTGTCAATATCATGATTGTTAATAACCGGCATCCACTGTACATGTTTTATGTTTCACTGTACATGTACATGTCTTTTAAAATATCAAAATTATTTCCCATATGTGCTAGCGGAGCACAAGGTATTCACATTTTTAAAAGTAGCCTTTAATTTTGGGTAGGACTGTCAAGAGATTAAAAAGCTTAATAGCTATTAATTGCACTGTTAAACAATAATAGAATACTATTTATTTAAATATTTATGGATGCTTTCTACATTTTCAAATATATTAATTTCAATCACAAAACACAATACAAAGTGTACAGTGCTCGTTTTATATTTATTTTTGATTACAAGAATTTGCACTGTAAAAAACAAAAGAAATAGTATTTCTCAAATCACCTTATACAAGCACTGTGGTGTAATCTCTTTATCATGAAAGTTGAATTTACAAATGTAGAATTATGTAAAAAACAAACAAACCTGCATTCAAAAATAAAACAATGTAAAAGTTTAGAGCCTGCAAGTCCACTCAGTCCTACTTCTTGTTCAACCAATCGCTCAGACAAACAATTTTGGTTACATTTACAGGAGATAATGCTGCCCTCTTCTTGTTTACAATGTCACCTGAAAGTTAGAACAGGCGTCTGCATGGCACTGTTGTCGCCGGCATCACAACATATTTACGTGCTAGATGCGCTAAAGATTCAGATGTCCCTTCATGCTTCAACCACCATTCTAGGGGACATATGTCCATTCTGATGACGGGTTCTGCTCGATAACAATCCAAAGCAGTGCGGACCGACGCATGTTCATTTTCATTATCTGAGTCAGATGTCACCAGCAGAAGAATGATTTTCTTTTTTGGTCGTTCGGGTTCTGTAGTTTCCGCATCGGAGTGTTGCTCTTTTAAGACTTCTGAAAGCATGCTCCATATCCCGTCCCTCTCAGATTTTGCAAGGCACTTCAGATTCTTAAGCCTTGAATCGAGTGCCATAGCTATCTTTGGCAATCTCACATTGGTATCTACTTTGCTTTTTATGAAATCTGCAGTGAAAGTGGTCTTAAAACAATCAACATGTTCTGAGTCATCATCCAAGACTGCTTATAACATGAAATATATGGCAGAATGCGGGTTAAACAGAGCAGTAGACATACAATTCTCCCCCAAGGAGTTCAGTCACAAATTTAATTAACACATTTTTTTAACAAGCATCATCAGCATGGAAGCATGTCCTCTGGAATGGTGGCCGAAGCATGAAGGGGCATACGAATATTTAGCATACTGGCACCTAAATACCTTGCAATGTCAGTTACAAAAATGCCATGCAGATGCCTGTTCTCGCTTTCTGGTGACATTTAAATAAAAAGAGGGCAGCATTATCTCCTGTAAATGTAAACAAACTTGTTTGTCTTAGCGATTGGCTGAACAAGAAGTAGGACTGAGTGGACTTGTAGGCTCTGAAGTTTTACATTTTTTTTTTTTGAGTGCAGTCATGTAACAATCTACATTTGTAAATTGCACTTCCACGACAGAGATTGCACTACTCTACTTGTATGAGGTGAACTGAAAAATAATATTTCTTTTATCATTTTTACAGTGCAAATATTTGTAATAAAAATAATATACACTTTGATTTCAATTACAACACAGAATACAATATATATGAAAATGTCAAAAAATATTCAAAATATTTAATAAATGTCAATTAGTATTCTATTGTTTAACAGTGCAATTAAAACTGTGATTAAGCAAGATTAATTTTTTTTAATCGCAATTAATTTTTTGAGTTAATCGCGTGAGTTAACTGCAATTAATCCACAGCCCTAATTTTGGGTATCTTAATTTTTGAGTTTTCAGCTTCAGACATCTATAGAGGTCCTGATTTTCAGAAATGTGGAGCACTGGCAGCTAACACTGACTTCAACTAGAATTGTGGGTGCTCAGCACATCTGAAAATCATATACAAGACACTGGCTCCAAAATTAGAGGCCACAATTCAAAATTTGGGCCTAAGGCTTTGTTGTACATTACAATTTTTAGTCTAGTTGTAACTTGAGTTAACGGTCAATTAATTTGAGTTAACTAACCTGATTATAAATGTAATTGTAGACAGTGTCCACAAATGTTTATTTCAGGACATAAAGGTTTGTTCCTTGTCATGATTCACCTTAGATGTTTATATTTGTATTTACAATCATGTTAGTTAATTTGACTCTAGTTATAACATGACCCAAAAGTGGGGTCTAAATAACTAGCCCAAAGTTACAACCACAGCATGGAGGCGCTCCATCTATGGCCACCAACTAACAGCCCACCTGCATTCCCAGAGTTCAGTACACTCACTCATCCAGAAGTTCTGGACACTCTAAGTAGTCTCGGCTCAAGACTTGTGAATATGACCCATACCCTTCCTGAATAGT